TATATTCCCAATATGTTAATGACTATGAGGTAACATAAGGGATCATTTAATATACAACACTGCGCTCGTTCTGGAACACAGTATTTTAAAAGCATCACCCTTTTACTCGTGACTCAGTAAAATGTCCAGCGTTCAATATTAAAAGTTGCCACAAAATAACTCAAATCCCTTATGTTACGTCATAGTCATTAACATATTGGAAATATAAACCTTTGTATCTCAAAGACCCGACATTCAAATGACGCATAATTGTCACAAACAACTATTCACTATTTAAAGAATCAATTCTGAAAATATTGTGTAAAGGCTTATAAGCACTTTAAGGATAACATTAGAAGCAGAATAGCTTCTACCATAATGCAGTTTTCGTATGACTGTGAAAAATTCACGGCACGAACTTTGCCATGACACGGCAAGGGATACGCCAGACCAATCACATTGCACGAKAATTTACTCTCCATCCAATCAAATACCCGGAACACGGCTTAAACGCGGCGCGGACACGGTCACGCCAAGATCAAGGCACCTTTAGACCAATCATATTGCGCGTGAAAAAAATTCAGTCAATTAAAATTCTAGAAAGTATCACGGTCACGGCACGTCACGCTTAGGGCACTGAGCTTTTCACAGTCATACCACAGGCTAACCACTCTAATAAATGAAGGAAATACTCTAATAAATGAAGGAAATACCATGTCTTGTCTTTGTCTTTTTATGCGCGTGCGCTATCGACTTTTTTGTCATCTCCCCTACCCCCCTTGGTAACAATTTTGTTTTTCTACTATACAATATACTAACAATTTAGTATATTGTATAGTAGAAAAACAAAATYGTTACCAAGGGGGGTAGGGGAGATGACAAAAAATCGATAGCGCGCGCATAAAAAGACAAGACACCATTTAGTATTTCCTTCATTTATTAGAGTGGTTAGCCTGTGTTCATGCGAAAACTGCACTATGGCGACACCGACACTCGACAACAACTTGACAAGAGACGAACTGAGCCCGAAACTGAGATCACTGAAACGACTGAAAAACGACGAAGACGTACATCGTGATACTACCTGCTGACAAGGGACGTGTTACTGTTGTCATGGACAAAACTGACTACTTTGACAAGAGGGACTCACTTGTTAACGACAAGAATACCTACGAACAACTGACTAAAGACCCTACAACTTCAATGCAACGTAAATTCAACAGTAAAAAGCTGACCCTCAAGAAGGCCGATAGTATTAAGCGACCAATACCATTACCGACCCACGCTCATCTGTAACACAAACACCCAAACTTTACGGACTTCCCAAACTTCATAAACCGCACACACCCATGCATGCGACCCATATAGTATCCTTCTGTGGGTCTCCAACTTACAAACTGTCCAAGCACTCTGATGCAGATCGCGTAAGCGTGAAACTCGGAGTAACAGCTAAAGTGATGTCTTTTATTTGATCTATCTACAATCTATATATATACTCTATATATATAACCCGCATATATAATATATAATATATGCAATCTATATATATAATCYGCATATCACATAGAGTGCGAGCTAAGTCCATCTATTTCCCTTGGTCGCTGTCTGTCTGTCTGTCTGTCCGTTTCGATTTTTCGAGGAAGATTGGTTACGAGTCAAAAGTCCCCCAGAGACTACTTTTGCCTATATATACATGTGTGGCAATTATTTACTCTATATTTAGTGTAACTGTATATTTAAATAGATCCATAGTTCTGCGGCTTTCTGGATTTGTTTTAGGTGTTCAGTACTTGTTCTCATGGCGGCATTTAGAAATTAATTCCGATCTTTTGTTGAGGAGGCTAGTTTTGTCGGCTTTAATAATGCATGATGAGTCAAATTTTTGAAATTGCAGTTATAAGAAACAAGTTTCCACCTCAAATCTATAATCCGGATGTGAAAATTACTACCATGAAAGAAAGCATTTCTTTAAAAACCGTAACCTCAAAAAAGATATACAATGTTCTTATTTCTATGAAGGTAACACCGCCTATAATGCAAGTAAAAAATATGATATGGTATACTCTGCCGGTTTTATGTGGTCAAGCATTTATGAGCTGCCTTTTCGATATAACTGAACAATGAAAATCTCTGAAACTTTCTGACCTTGAAGACTACCATAGCATGTTTCAGATAGTGAACTCCGTTTTTCCGGGTCTGGTCAGATTATGTCAAAAAATAGATTTAAAAAATAATCACATGACGTCACTGTGCCTTCAGGGCGTGTCCGATGGTCACGAAATACACGCGATTTATAACTTCCATCTATCCCTACACTTAGTATAAACTCATATTTGGCCAAGGTATATCTGGWGCCGCGCAGTTTGCAATACAAGTAGAGGAGTCGTGCTTCAAAATTATTGTATCGAGCCACCTTTAGAATAGCTAAAAATAAAAAATTAAATTACACTTTCATTATAATAAATGGGAAAAACTCCTGCACATAATTCAATCCGACTGAATTAATAGTAAATATCYGCTGCCCCTATATTCCTAGTTGTGTTTTTTTATGGGCACCTTTGGAATTGATCCATACATAATGTAAAGCTTTTCTGTTAGGCAGAGATTACGCCTTTTGGAGATGTTCTTGTATTACGCTCTACAAGACCTGCAACTTATTGCATCGAGCACTCTACCGACAGTATATAGACTCAAACATCCAGATTTACTATACATTTTCTTAATTTATATATAGATATGCATATGTATATCTGCCATATGTGTAAGAATACAGACCACCAATTGACACAAAACATCATACCCCCCCCCCTAAGTCTATTCAACATGTACAGTGAGAAAAAGTTATAATATAATAATATAAAAAAAACTCAATACAGTATATTGTTTCACAAATTATGTGTCATCCACATATTATATCTAAAAAATAATAAAATATATTCTCAAGAAAAGAATAAAACATAATAGTTCTATTCTTGGTTTGCAATCAATCCCAAGAGAGCACAATAACAAAAGGGATGTCCACCATGTTAGAAGATATAACAAAAGAATTCATTGACAAATCTTTTGTCAAATTCTTCCAACATGGCGGCTATGACGTCTAATTGCAAACGAAGAATTTATTTTCAACAAAATTTGAAAAGGGATTCATTAATGCATAACATAAAAACATCAGAAAACAAAATTAATTCTTTAATTTTTGTCTTAGAAGTGTGCTTTATTAGCATGGTTGGGAAAATTACTTCAAAGAGCACCTACTCTTTCATCAAACTGCCTAACCTGTACATACCATTTAAACAGAACCACCTCTTTAATTTGTATAAAAAATATGCTGTTGATGAGAAAGAGAAAGGTGTAATAGCCCTCACTTTCAAGCTTTTATCATTCAAATGTGATATTTTTGCTACCCCCACCCCCCTAAACGTCAAACTAAATAAATAATCGTTATAAAAAAATATATAAAACATAAAATCATAAAATCATAGGACAACTTACTTTAAAATTTCTCTAAAATTTACTGGCTCTAAACATCGTTCTTATACGAGAGGACATGATAAAAGTATTTCTAAAACAATCAGTCCTCCATCTTGGATTTGCGTAGCATCTATTTTTCCTTAAAAGAAAAGCAATATAGCACCTCTTTTTCCTTAATTAAAGAATACAGAACATGGTTTAAAGCATGCAATAATTTGTTCGACCTATTGTCCTTATTGCTAACGATAGAGTTAAAAGCATTGTTACAAATAGCTTAACTATAAGAATAATAGTGGGTATACCTATTTTCTTTAGTGCCTTGTGATAAAACACACCAGGATAGAAGAATCACGCAGCCCTTTTCTGAACACGTTCTAATTCGCACTGTAATGACATCATGGGTAGGTTGTAGTAAAAAAAAGAGCACAGCATAAGTTAGGATAGATCTATTATATGTGAAATAGAAAAGAACTAGAAAAAGACAGTACACATTACACTCTGTACATACATATTGCATATTTAACAAATAAAACAGCTTTTTCGTGCTCCGTTCAGTATTAAAGCACGCAGGAAGTGACGTAAGCACAAAAGAAGTGTAAGGAG